CATTCCTATTTCATTAAGGATATATCTTTTTCATATTAATTTACAAAGCAGTTGCACAACTTTTATTTAATAGTAAAGGTGACTGAAAGTCAGTTAAGAAATCATTTATAAAGTTCTTATACCTAATAAAAGGCACAAAAGGCCTTTTCAATATTTGTATTGATTATTGATTTGATATACTTTCCTTCAGAGATTGTTAGGCAAGGAGGGTGAACTGGTTATTATTACTTTTATAAAAAAATCTATGTCATTCGTATTCATTCACGAAAACTTACTGATTAAGCAAACCCTTACTAAGACAACACCTATGTATTGTTTGTAATTTCGATTTTTGAAAAATTTCCTCCAAGGAAGAGAATGCAGGCCACTCAATCTAGTAACATAGACAGCACTTCCACTAATATAGATCAAGTCATACAATACTCTTAATCTCTGTCACTATCATCACCCCCATACATATCAGCAAGTTTTTTAAAACGAGGCCCCCAGTCACTGAGGTAATCATAATCTTGGTTACAATCAGCTGTGAGAGATTCCAAGGAACTGAGCGAATCTGCTATGGAATCATTCCCTTCATAGGCATATGTTGCCAGTGAATCGTAAGGAGGCGCGCTTGGGTCTGCATCGTTTTCTTTTAGTCTTCGATGGATAAAATCTTGTACATCGATATTTTCCCACAGAGGCACAGTCCTCCTTATCTGAAAAATAGTTTCAGGCATTACGTCCCGTCTAAGTTTACTGTCTTCTCTTGCTTCTGGATTCCTCAGAGTACCAATGTCGAAAGCTTGGGTATCTTCTTCCCCACCGCCTTCATCATTGTAGGTCACGATGTTGTCCCGAACATCGTCTTTTGAAATTATCAGAGGTTCCTTTTTTCTTTGCCGCTTCAAGGCAGCAAACAGCACGACTAAAACTAATAAAAAAAAAAAAAAAAAATGAGAAAATAGTGAGATTCCAGGATTCAGGATGAAATAGAGTACACTTCTGTGTGTGAAGTTCTCGTGGGGCAGGAGGTATTAAGATTGATTGAATAAAAAGAGTAACTATTCTATACAAAAACAGAGTGCCTCGGGCCAATGATTGGATACACTGCATTGGAAAAGGAGCAGATATAACAGTGTCATTAATTTACTTTCAAGACATACTCTCTTATAGGCCTCTGGCATTGAAAAAGCTTTGTTCAATTATTATTATCACATTTAGCCAACTGCAATTACCTGACACCTCATTCTTTCCAAATGTTGTTCATTTGTTTCAAATATAAAAATGCTGAAGCTCTAATCATTAATATCCTAAGAGAAACTGAGCACCAATTGAGTATTTTCTTAATGACTTACGGGAATTTGCACATTCCTCATACACAGTGCATACATACTTATGTATGCATTACATACAGATTCTGTGCCCACACACACATAAATAAATACATATGACCTACTGTTTTTATCCCTTCTCATATGTTTAACTAAATTCCTTTGCTGGCCTGAATTTGAAAGCTTGCTTAAAAATCTGAAATACAACTCTGAAAGCTACAATATAAGATTCAAGCTCAAATTCATATTTAACTTATACTCATCTTACATGACAGCTCAGATATTATCTTGTTAATGAGGACTTCCTTAATTTCACAGATGTATTTAAGCTTTGGACTGAGATGCCAATTGTATTCTCTCTGTTTGTTTTATTGTTTTTATTGTTGACATGTCTATGCTAGGAAGTTAACTGTGAACTTTCCCATATATAGTATACTTTCTTATATCTTGTTAGTGTACTGGAATTCAAATTATTATACATATGTTTGTCAGTAAACCATTTCCTAATAAACAAATGTTGCAATTAATGAAATACATTTAAAACAAAACCAGAAAAACATGTGAGTTCCAAAATATAAATCTTCTGTTGAAAATGGGCCAAGTCTCTAATTTTATATGTAAGAAATGTAAACATTAAATCAAGAAAATTTCTTCAAGACACACTTGAACATTACCAGGGAGAAATCAAAACAAGGTTTTTTTACTTTAGGGCATTTACATGTTTGTCAATATTATTTATGTTTCATAGAAAATAAGAAAATGTTAGCTCAAAAATTTATTATTCATTTTTCTCAATTTTTATATCAAGATTTCACAAAGTAAACTCATTTACATTGAGACTACACTTCAACATGGCCCGTAAGGCCCCTATAACTATACTAAAGGCATGTCCAATGATGTTTTCATATTGGCCAGCACACTTTCCTCAGCTTTTCCTAACTGATAGAAATATATTTACAAAGATGATTAAAGGCCTCTTCATTTAGCCTCCACAAAATGGGCTTTGGGTGATGAGCTATATTTAGGATCATCTTGAAGACATATTTAAAACACTATTCAGTAAAAGTGACACATATCTGTACATTCTTCTATTAAAGGAAGAGCAAAAGATTAAGTCCAACATCTACAAAATTTTAGGCATGAACTATAAAAAAGGGTTCTTTATAAATTTAATATTAAATGAATTAATTTATAAATTCTCTACTTTTTATAAATAAACTGACAACCCTCACATTATTTTAAGGGGTCCTTAGCTATACACATTTACTAACTTCCACAAATGGACCTTGGAACCTGTTCTGAGTTTTTTCTCTTCTGCGAGGTCAAAATTACTTGATCATGTCCTAGATTGAGATTATTAATCTGAGATTTGTGAATAGAATTCAGAAAGTCTATGATAAGAAATGGAAAAAAGTGCAACCTTATTTTCGCTAATCTGTAACTTGTATTTAGCATTTCTTTCAATTATGAATATCAGTATAAACTATGGTGATATTGACAATATGTGTGATGATTAAACCAATGGAAATTTTTATTTTATATTGCATTACAGTTTGATAGATATTGCAAACCATCTTTATATTTGTACTAGAACATGAAATGCATGACTTAATAAGCAAACACATTTTGCTTTTTGTTTCTGGTTCAATTTGTATAAATATATTTCCTTTCTGGCTTATATATTTTACTCATAAATTTAAATTGTTATTCTGAATAAGTCACTAGCCTCATCACACTGCCAAAGGTATCCCTGGGAACCAAAATGCTTAAAAAGCACTTGACATGGGTTTTAATCTGCCATAGATATAAACTAAAAATTGCATTTCTTTGAAATGTATTAAGGTGCATGTAAAATATTAAATATTCCTGTTCATGCTATATTATCTTGTGCATAGCAAATTCTCTTAACTATAGAAATGCTATAACTATGTCAAGCCATTACTATAAAGACTTGAAATAATAGCAAGAATGCTTTAGTGACTTTGATAATCAAACCTTCCAAGTTAGAACAAATTTTAACTAAAATATTAATAACAGAAAATCACTCCACATTCAGCCAATAAATTGGGAAGAAGAAAAAAGAGAAATGTGTGCCTTCTATATTACACAGAAAGAAAGATATTTTCAGAATAAAAGGCAAAACTTATTAGGATTTATGTGTAGAGAAAATTGTTATTGAATTGAGTTTGACAATATCTAAACTTATTTGGGAGGATGCTTTTGTTTCCTTAGGCATGCATTAATATCTGTGTATGTATGTGTGTGTGTGTGAGTGTGTGTGTGTTACATCAATATAGAACTTTTTAAAACTAAATTGCAATGTACATATTTTCATGTTGTTCTAAATTAGGAAAGGAGAACTGTCTGAGCAAGTAAAGCATATGAAATCTGTAGCACTTAGCTAAAAGGGTAAGCAAAATTTTAATCTCCATAGGAATACAAAAATATTTTAGAGGAGTTGAACTCTCTAGTGGCAGGTGGAGGTGGGGACTGCTGAAGGTGATGGTGGTAGTGTGTATGTTCGAAACCTCTCTGAGAAAATGTTTTCCTAAATAGTTGGATCATCTTAAGTGAGACAAATGTTTTTCCCTCACTTTCATCAATCCCCCACCGAAGTCCTGCAAGGATATCTGGCCAAAGGGATTTCATCCAGATAGCTGAAAGGATTTGCAGTGAAAAGAAGCCAGCACATATGAGCATCAGAACATAAATTTGGCTAGCTCTCCTGCCCTAAGCATAAGCATTTTGGATGAATGTATCACGGAACCAATTTTTTTGAAATGTTTTACAGTGGAACAACTGTTTAATTGAATTAAATTGTTGTCCTGTTAGTACATGCTCAAATAAAACATTTGCTTTTGGAAACATGACTTTAGTTAGCAAATGTTGGAGGGCTAGGTATGATATGATCACAGTGCCATAGTGATATTTTTAAAAAGTGAATTTAACTTTATAACTTGGTATATTACATCTATATATAATAAATTATATGGGAAAAAATGTTTTAGTTATTGTCACAACTTTCATGCATTTTTAAATTACGTATCTGATATATATAATGTAGTATATGTCGGTACTATTATTTGTAAAAGTAAAGTAGTTTTTGGATTTTAAAAGGAGAATTCTAAAGTAGAATGATGTGAGTTGAAATGCTAACTAAAACACTTTCTAAATGAATGACTTTGGGCAAGTTATTTAGCCTTATTGTAGAAGAAAAGTGTTTATCATATAGAATTGATATAAAGATTAAATACGTTATTAAATCAAATGTCCTTAGAACAGTGACCATGGTTAGTCAAAGATATAATAGCTCATGGTATAAAATATATTTAGAAATATGTATATTGCACATGTTGTATTTTTGTTTTTTGTCTCTGGAAAACTAGAGCTATCCCCACACAAAAAAATTCAAAGTTTTTTTTCCTAATTGAAAGAACCATTTTTAACAAAAAGTGATAATTTTCAATCTTTAACTATAGAGAAGGGTGGCGTTGAGTGCACGATCCCTGGGCAATGAGGGAGAGAATGTTGATAGAAGAGCGTTCAGAGGGGCAGCGCTTACTAAGCAGTATGAGGACACAGAGCAGGATCGCGATGAGAGCTCCTGTGCTCAGGCCAGCCGAGAGGATGAGGGCCTCTGCCGTGCAGGACTGCATGTTGCCTTGATTATCGCAGGCACACACACGGATGGTGAGCGTGCCAGTGCTGCTTTGAATCGGATAATCATTGTCAAAGATTAAAATCGGCAGTAGATAGGTGCTCATTTTGTTGCGACTGTATCCGTCTTTTCGAGTCATGATTCCTGCTGTATTATCTGGGGGGAAAAAGTTTTTAAAAAAGTCACATTTCTTTTTAATTTTGCATCTTAAGTTCTTACAACTTTTAGTTTTAGAATGTTCTAAATGTTCTATACCTTTATTGTCTACAATGGTAAAGTTTGGATTGAGAGGAAATTCTGGCACTGGTTCAAAGAAGAATTTGTGACCCCGGGGAGGGTCATCCTTATCCATGACGCTGACAGTCTGAATCAGCTGAAACCAAAATTAATGAATTAATTAGAACCAAAAGCAACTCTCTTTTTTTTAATTAATTAAAACAACTCGTTTTTACAAAACATTTTAAAGCTGTATGTCTGTGCTTTAAATGTATCAGTAAAATTAAAGAAATGAAAAATACCATTTTAGAAAATTATGCCAATATTTTTATGGTTTTGTCTTAAGTAACTTATTTAATTAAGAATGAAAAAATCAAATATTAGTTTACAGGGCATCTCAATGCCTCATTGTCTGATTCCTGTCCACCTCAAAGAAAAATTTGATCACTCTAACAACTATACTCCTTTGCCTTTGTTCTAAGGCACTAGTCAGTTTTGTTATTAATTGGTTACCAATCTGTCTCCATGAGAAAATAATTTCTTGGAAGAGAAGATCATAAAAGATGAATTTTTAAAAACAATGATGCTTAGCCCAAGCATTCTTATACATTAAGGATACTATTAATATAGTTTTGGAAAATTATACTTTATCATGCACTATCAGAAAGAAAAATATTTTATGGGCACCATTACTATAGTTATTTTACATGTTTTATTCAAATTGGTTGCTTTTCTTTCAATTAATGGTATTTGCAAAGATGGATACACAAATAAATTCTTCTAAGGTTTCGTAAAATCAGTGTTGAAGTTTCAAAATTAGAGCCCCGTTGGCTGAGCTCAGTGTAGGTCAGAAGTGTAGCATAGTGGAAGATGGAGCAGCAAATAGCAAGTTGGGCAGAAAAAATTTCATTGAGCATTTTATAGTGGAAAAAGCACTAAACTACTAGACATGGGAGTGTCTGCCATCTGTGTGATTTGAAATCAGTCATTTAATTACTCTCACTTTTAGCTTTCTCTTCTTCAAAAATAAATAGTCGCACCACTTCCAGGTATTATAGTCCAACATTCTATGCTAAGTGATTACTGGAATTTCATAGTAGCTTAATTTATCCATTGTTTTAGTTATTATGAGCCTTCTATAATCATACTAACCTGCCTACTTACTAGTAAATATTTTGTCCACTTTATTTTGATATTAACTATACTTTCATTCATTTTATTGACAGAATGACATGTAACTGTACGTACAGTGGTTCTGATAGTGCATGACAATTAATACAAACTTAATAAATTTTCTCTTTAGAAAATCGGAGCATAACACAAGAAAAGTATATAACTTAATATTCTTTCTGAATCTCCTGATCTTCAATAGCAATAACAAATCTAATTTTTAGTAATGTTTTAAATCATAACAAAATGGTCCTTTTATTGCATGATTCTTGAGTTCTTGAAATGATTAGATGGGCCTTGTATAAACATAGTTTAAGAAGGTATACAAAACAGTAGCTTAAAATATATTTTATTTATAAGTTTGTTAATTTGTACGAGATAATAATAGCATATTTTAAAATAATTACAACTAGTTAATATCTACTGCACTTTGTCATCAAATATTAGCACATAAAATATCAATAACTCACATAAATCAATAAAAGACAAGCATATTAACAGGTAAATGACTAAGTAATATCTATAGGCTATTCATTGTACGTTGACTTGTGTCTCCTCAAAAGATATATCGACATCCTAAATCCTAGTACCTGTGAATGTGACTGTATTTGGAAATAGGCTTTTTGCAAATGTAATCAAGTTACAATGAGATCATTTTGGATTAGGGAGTGTTCTAATTCTATGACTGGAATCTTCATAAGAAGAGGTAAATTTGGACACAGAAACAGATACAAGAAGAACGCCATGCTATGATGGAGGCAGAGACTGGAGTAATTGTGGTCCATAATCCAAGGAATGCCAAGAATTGCCAGCAACCACATGAAGGTAGGAAGGTGCAATGAAGGATCCTCTTCTAGAACCTTCAGAGAGAACATAGCCCTGCTGACATATTGACTTTAGACCTCTGGCCTGTAGAACTGTGAGGAAAAGAAATCTGCATTTTAAGTCATATAGTTTGTGGTAATTTGTCATGCCAGCTCAGGAAACTAATAACAACTATGAATATTTAAAGGAAAAAAAGCCACACTCTTATGAAAAAAATGGTCAACTTCAATGGGTGTGAAGCAATTCACACTAAAACTATTATGAGATATTTACACATTGGCAAACATTTAAAATCTAGAGCCAACCAAGTAAATAGGCAATTGTACATATTTGGCGGGAATGTCTCTTAAATATGATACATTTGGAGAATTATTTGGCAGTATCTATTAGTATTTATAGATAACATTTAATTATTTCTATTTTAAGGATTATATCAAAGGAAAATAATGCCAGGTAGTAAACAAACATAATATACTATAATGATCTTGTAGTTTTGCCTGCTAGAAAAACATTTTGTTGATAAATCAAATGGTCATTAATAGGGAAGTAGTTGAATAAGTTAATTAATGTGTAGCTATGCTATGAAAATTAAGCATCAAATTAAGAATAATCACATACTGAACTCGGAATATGCCTATTACCTGTTGTAAAGTGAAAAAGAAAAACAATTTTTTTTTTAATTTCAGCATATTATGGGAGTACATATGATTAAGTTACATATGATGCCCTTGCCATGTAATGATTTTATGTTGCTAAAAAGAAAATAAATACTAAGTTGTATTTTTGTGTATGTAGGTGGAATGTGATATGTATCTCCGTTTTAGTCAGCTGGGCTGCCAGAACAAAATCCCACAGACCAGGTGGCTTAAACAACAGAAATGCATTTTCTCACAGTTCTGGAGGCTGGAAGGCCTAGATCAAGGTGCCAGCATGGTCAGCTATCTGCGAAGGCTCTCTTTCTGGCCTGCAAATTGCGGCCTTCTCTCTGAGTGTTCTCACATGGCATTTCCTCAGTTCATGAACTCGTGGGGAGAGAGAGAGAGAGTGAGAGAGAGAAACACACAGAGAGAAACAGACAGAAAGCGCATGAGCTCTTAGGTATGTCTTTTTAGAACATTAATCCTATCTGATTAGGCTCTTTCCCCCTTAAGGTCTCACTTAGCCTTAATTACTTCCTTAGGAGACCCCATCTCCAAATACAACCACAGTCAGGGTTAGATCTTCAGTGTAGGAGGGACACAAACGTTCAGTCCCAAGTCTTTACTGGAATAGAAGACAGACTGTATTTAACTCTATTTTCTACAATTAAAAAGACATGATGGAGTTATAGATGATTCTTAACATCTGCCTACTTTTTCCTTAAAGAAATATTTATATAACTGATTAAATTACTTTCAGTAAAATTTGTGTAGTTACTGTTGTTGGAAAATATATTTTTGTCAAAAATGAACATATTCTGCATTTGTTTAAAATTAATGTGTATACATCTGAAAAATTACTTTGTAAAGAGACATGCTAACTCTTTTAGAAATCTTTTTTTAAAATTTCAATGACAAGAAAATTTAAAAATCACAAAGAAAATATTACTTATATCAAAACAAATTTTCCTAAATTATTAAAAGTGGCAAAATGTAATTGAGAAAAAGGTTATTATGATTTTCTTTATATTAACATAGAACAATTTAATTTTCATATTCATGTTTTATTTAATAATGTACTTCCATTCTATTTAGGGACTGTGCCTCAGCATCAGCATAATTATGAATCCAGGCAAGAGCTTTTTACTTATGTGATATTCATTATATATTTGATACCTAAATTAAAGCAGATAATTTTTGCTATTATATCAATTTTAAAATAATCTTTATAAGATCACTGTGAGTTTTTTATTAAGGGGAAATGAATAGGTGACAAGAAGTATTGAAAATAGTTTTCACAAGAAAGTATACAAATAAAGTGATGCAATGCCATTTGCCTTTGTAAAGAGAAATTTAAAAAAAAAAAACTTATAATAATTTTATTTACCTGACCAGGTTTTGCATTTTCACAAACAAATGTTTCATAGTACATGGCAAATTCCGGAGCGTGGTCATTTATATCTAGAATTCTGATGAAGACAGAAATATGACTACTTTGTTTTGGGTTATCTGCAACGAGAACATGTAAGATTTTAGTCTCATTTACAGAGAAGCAGTGAAACCACTCGCTCTATTTGTAGCTCAGCAACACATCATTTTTGCAGTGTTCATTTTCTCAATTGGATTGCTGATGAATATCTCAGCTCTCTTACATGGTCTAATGAAAGACACAATGAAATTGAGGAAAATATGACTGAGAATGAAATATTATTTGTACTAGATAATTTTCTTAGACTATTTTTATGAAGTTAAATTGTATTTCTATCATATAATAAGGTGTAAAAAATCATGTTTAAGATTAATAATGATTCGATAATCCTTGACATAATTTAAAAATGTTTTGCCATTCTAAATCATTTCTCTAAGATCTTTCTAATGAAACAATCATTCCACTCAAGGAAGAGTCTACTTCATGTTATTATTTTACCTCTTTGGTGAAAGAGAGTGTGTTCAGATGGATGTAATTGCAACTTACTTATTTCTGTGGCTGTTACAGTGATGTTGTGCCAAGGGGATGATTCCCGGTCGAGGGGCTTCAAAGTGAAAATAGAGCCATTTTCTGAGTTGATACTGAAAATGCGGTCCATATCAGTATGCCGATCAACCGAGTATCTGGCAGAAAAGAGACTCATAATCTAGACATTGTTTTAAGATTATTAATTCTTCTACTGTTTCTTTAAATTATAGACAATTTCCACAATGATAAGACAAAGATATGAAATTTAAAATCCTGGTAACTTTCTTGAATTTTTATTAATATTTCATAAAATTGACATTTAAACAATTTGATATGTTTGGCTGCTTCTATTATTATTATTCTATGATTATGTGTACTCTAGAGTCATTATTTATACTACTGAATCCTTGTGGCAGGTTTTAAGTGAGTTTTTAAGTGATATGTGGTTCATTTATCCTATCGTATGCCTATTGCAGTGCTTGAGACATATTAAACAGTCATGTTAAGTTTGACAGAGTCAATAGCAATGAATAATAAATTCAAAGTATGTTTAAAAAAAACGACAGAACTGTGTTCATAGACACAGTTATGAGTATGAGTGAATATAGAGTAAATTATTGAAAAATGTATTGATTGCACTTGAATGGCTTTCTATTCAAGAGACATGTCAGCTGAACCAAGATCTTCCTCCAATTTTTTCTCCAACATATTCCAAATAAAAATGAAATGCCATATTATCACATATTTCTGTGATTTCTCATCAGGCTTGGATAAGGAAGATGTCACCATAAGTAGCTTTGTATCATTCTGTGTTTGGCAAAATAATGTTTTCCTTCCCAAAGATGTCCGTACCTGAGTCCCCAGAACCTGTGATTATGTTACTTACATGGAAAAAGTAACTTTGCAGGTTTGATTAAGAAAGCATTACATCAAAGTGATAGCTGCACTAGTATTTGTCACAGCGCTATTCATAATAGCAAAGATATGGAATCAGCCTAATTGTTCATCATGGATAAAGAAAATGTGGTATACATATATACCATGGAATGCTACTCAACCATTAAAATAATGAAATCATGTCTTTTACATAATAATGATGGAGAACTGGAGGCCATTATCTTAAGTGAAATAACTCAGAAACACACCATCAAATACAACATGTTTTCACTTATAAATGGGATCTAAATAATGTGTACTCAAGGTCATATAGAGTGAAATAACAGACACTGGAAACTCAGAAGGATGGGAGGGTGGAAGGACAGATGGGGGATGTGAGATGAAAAATTACTTAATGGGTACCGTGTACACAACTGTGGTGATAGTCACAGTAAAAGTCCAAGTTTCATCACTACACACTATGTCCATGTAACAAAATTGCATTTGTATCCTCTAAATCTATAAAAATAAAATAATAATAATAATAATAAAATTGAGATAGGGCATTATCCTTGATATCCAGAGATGCTTGATTTAATTGCATGAGCCCTTAAAAGTGAAATGGGAAGGTAGAAAGTGGTTTAGAGAGATGATATAAAAGAAAAAAAAAAAAAGAGGAAAGATTTGAAGAGTGAGAAAGACTTGACTCGTAGTTGCTGGCTTTAAAGATGAAGGAAAGGAGGCGCAAGCCAAGGAATGTAGGCGACCTCCAGAAACCAAGAATGATCCTTAAGCTGACAGCTAGCAAAAAAACAGGGACATTGCCTCTACAATTGCAAGGAATTGAAATATGCTCACAATCTGCACGAGCGAAGAAACCATTCTCCTCTGAAGTCCACAGAAAAGAATATGGCCCTGCCACATCAACACTTTGACTTTAGCCCAGTGAGACTCATACCAAACTGCTGACTTACAGAACTGCAAAATAACAAATTTGAATTGCTTTAAGTTACTGCTTTTATGGTATTTTTTGTACCACAATAGAAACTAATACATGCTCAAAAGAGAAAGTTTTGAAAAGGTTAGCTCATATGAAAATCCTTTAGTTACATCAGACTATGTTATGCTGTACTAATTAATATTTTTACATCTTCCTGAGATTTCTATTGCTGATTCTTTAACGGACCCATATAGGAAAGTGAACACTTCTAAAACATTGACATTGAGATGAATCACATGTGATTTCGTTAAAGACAGAATTTGATTCAGTAGGTCTGGTATGGGAACTGGCATTCTGCATTTCTAAAAAACTCTTAGCTAAATCCTATGTTGCAAGCCCATAGACCAGGTTTTATGGAATAAAGTAGTCAGAATGAGGACAAAAAAAAGAACAACAGCGAAAGACAACTAATAGACTATTTTGCATCTGGCATAGTTCACATTTTTCTAGGTGTCTTATTAAAGGAACTTAGCAAATGCACTTTATTTTGATGTAGTGAATTGGAAAATTGCAGCTTCCATTATAAATCTATGATATATTCAGTATTTGGCATTGGCTTTGACAAATATAAGTAATAGATATTTAGGTTTCTAAATATTGTTAAGCATTGGAAATTTTTAAATTTTTGGATGAAAATACATTGATATAAATTTTATGATTTTTTTGAATTGTTTTAATAAAGTGTATGATTTAGTCTATTGTTATAAGAATTATGATTAACTGAAGAGATCTATTAAGTAAAGTCAGATCTTGAAAATAATTTTAATGATTTAATATAGTACATTAAGGTGGTTGCCTAATTTTTTTTCTGCTAAACTTCATAAAATAATTATTTCAAAGACACAGATATTACTTCAAAGAGATTATTTGAGCCTCTGGAAAAAAATGTACTGGGTTTAATCTCAAAGGTGGAAAGGCCAACAAATGTTATATATATAAGTGGTTTCAGGATCTTTTCTGTACCTCACTCCTGATACGTGGAACCAACTCAGTCACTTCCTTGTCCTTCAGTACAGTTGCTCAATGGGCAATAGAGCTACAAGAAAATGATAGTATTCCCTTAATTTTTCAATAATTGCTATTGGAATTTTCTTCCATGGTGCTATAAAAAGTCTTTGAAAGGTTGAAAAAAAACTTATTTGGCAAATGATCACTGTTTAAGAGTCGCTGTACTTCTGGGTGAGAAAACCTAAGGCAATAAAGGATAATTAGGAATCTAGATATAAAATAAACATGTACAATTTATAATGGCATATTTGTATGTCCTAGAAGCAAATGTTATATTGGATTTTAGCCAATAATTCATTGTCAATTATCAGATTTATAAAATAACTATTAATATAGTAAAATTAAAGATGCCAGTCATATTAAAATTTCTCTTTCTTTTTGCTGTTGCTAATGGTGCTGAAATTAAACAAAATATTGTGTTTCTTGCCTGTAGATGTCAAGCCCCCTACAATGTAGCTCCTAATGTGGACTTTACATTCGTTTGGGTCCAAATTGCTATGTAAAGTATTTGAGAGAAAAGCAAAGTGAGTCATTGGAAATTTTTTTTAAGTTTTATTTTCCTTAAATACACCAGATTCTGTTTATGAATTTAAAAAAAAAAGCTTAAAATGAACACAAAGAAAGCAAAGTGAAAGAACACAACTGCATCTATGTGTTGAATGGAACTCAGTTCACTATATTCATCTGTAAATATATTTCTCCATTGTTGGAAAGGTCAATAGTTAACCATTATATGCTTATGTCTGAATAGACCTTGGATTTCTTCCTACTGTTTGCATTGAAGATCAAAAAGGAAAATAAAATTTCCTTTTGTGCTTCTTGCTACTTGTCCTAGATTTTAGCCTGGGGATTTCTATGATTGAAGAATAGCTAACAATTCCCATATTATAAAAGTCAGGCTTTGACCCTCTTGTAGCTTATTTAGGATCAAATAGATCTGAGTTTCTCACTGCCCTATTCTTAAGTACAACCTTGAAAGATACTGTTTTTCATGTTAAGAATTCATGAAGGAGAATCACTTTGATGATTTAGAAATAGCTCACTTTAACATTAACATTGCAAACTTCCATGTCTATATACAGAAAATTTTCTCAGTGCAAATGATGTCTCACAATTTATCAAAGCATAGAGATTATTGTATTTTATTTAGCAGTCAAAGTTCTATTTTCCACACAGAATAGGAATATTCTGATTTACCTGTTAATAATAAATATATTGGATTACAACAAATGACCAAAAAGAGCCTGACAAACACTTAACACAGAACAAAACTGTCTCTATATCCTAGTAAATGACCTATTATAATAACAATGTTTTATTGATCTCCTTACATTGAATTTTGAACAATAAGTTAAAAAAGATCACTGGCACGATTTTGTTTATGTGTGTGTAAATACCTTCTGTAGAGACAGGATCCGATATCTTGACAGAAAATAACGTGAAAAAGAACACAAGAGAACTGAGCCTGTGGAAGCTGATCTCTGATTTTTTTTATTTTTTTCATTTTTATGTTCTAATATTAAAAATCAAGCACATATAAGATCCCTGTATTTTTACCTAGCACAAATAAATCTAAACTAAATAACACACCAGAACAAATCAGTAACATGCAGAAATATGTCAAGACAGGATTCCTTTTCCTTTACTGGATTCTGGGTGCTTCTTCCAATAACTAAGTCCATCTAGTTAGGACGTGCATTTGCTCTTTTCTTTGCAGCTACTGCTTTTCAGAAACTATGTTTCCATGGCTGTGAACTATAATACCTTCATTCTCCCTCAAAAAGTGAATGTTGTCCATATAATGAAATTATTTATAATTTCATTTGAAAACATAGTTGAAATCTTTTTGTATAGATTATTGATAGTATTATAAGGTTACTATTATTTTACCTTCTGCAATAAAATCAAGAAAATAATAGAGAAACATTGCCATATTTGAATGCATTTATTCCAGTTTATGTTGTAACCATGTACATATAATTGAGGCATATGTAAATCCCTGGCCAACAAGTTTGTTTCATTACTTTTCAATTTGACAGAGTAGAAGGGATTTCTTCTAAAAATCATTGAACTTTAAATACGTTAAGCATAAAATAGGTGTGAAATGAGGCAACATATTCTTTCAGAACTTGTAAAGCTAAAATCAACCCTATAACTTTGGAGATCCATGATTACTAATGAGGTGAAGCAGGGAGCTGACAACAGCTGCTAATTGTAACCATAATTTCATGTTGCAAGTGGCAGATGTATTTCAGAAAATATGTTTGATGAACAGATTTACTGGTGGACGAGAATTAGTTCCCAATCTTTCTCTGGAAAAATGTTTATCCATGATGCTTATCACAGCATATTTCTACTCTGGGGAATCAGTCATCCTTCTAGATTTGATGAGAGCAAACAAAAGAGTCCCACGTTACAATATTGCATCATTGTCAAATTACTGCTGTTTTTTCTTCGCACTGTGTAATTGGATATCTAAAGCTTTTTTTATTTGCCTACCTTTTATATGCTAACAGGAATCAATCTACATGCTATATTGTCAGATATGGC